CGAGCCGAGCGGCGGCTGTTGCCGCGGCCGCTGCCGTGCCTCCAGGAGCGGGCATGGCGGACGGGGCTCGCTCGCAGCTTGGCGGCAGCCCGGCCCCTAGCCCGGTGCTGGGCGGGCGGGGCCGCGTCTCGTCTTCGTCGTCGTCCTCCTCGTCGTCCGCCATCCCGCCGGGTCACAGCTTCCGCAGGGTGACCCTCACCAAACCCACCTTCTGCCACTACTGCACCGATTTCATCTGGGGGCTGGCCGGTTACCAGTGCGAGGGTAAGTGCGGGCGGGGCGGCCCTTCGAGAGGTCGGTTGGACGCGGAGGGGCATCGGCTGCGAGCCGCCGGCGGTGCCACGCGTGCCGGCACGGGGTGAGCGGGGCTCCGCGCTGCCGCTCCGCGTCCATCGCCACCCACCCGTTGTCCTTTTCCTCTCCCGCCCGGCCCGGGACCGCCCGGGCGTGTGTGTGTGTGTTTGTGCCTTAAAAATCCCCCGAATTCTTCTCGCTCTGGCTGCGATTTGGGGTGTTTTCCTAGTTGGGAAAGCGCACCCAGCCGCTGGAAGCAGCCCCGGCTCCGCGCAGGGCCGCCCCCAATCAAGCGCTGCTTCCCGATGCTCTCCGATGCTTCCCTTCTCTCTCGCGGGGCTCTGAGCGCTGCCCCGGACGGCCAAGCCTGCACCTGACCTCGCTCTGCCTCTCTGCCGGCCGTGCCGATCAGCCCTCCCTTCTTTCCTTTCGCTGTTTTCAGACTTCTGCGTCTGCTTCTGTGCTTTTCTGATAACGATTCCAACAACATGACAAACCTCGCAGCATCCCGATGGGTTGTTTGCTCACGCTGGCTGCGTTTTACAGCCGTGCGCCCGCCTTGGTGGCAGCTCGTGAGCTGTGAGCCGGTTACTGATGCGTTTTCCTGGGTGATATTAAAGAGAACTTGTTTACAGTGTTTATCTCCTTGCCGCATTTGCAGCGGCTGGTGGAATTTGATCACAGTTCTTGGGAAAGTAATAAAAGGGTAACCTCTAGGAGTGCCACGTTGGTTAAAAAAATAACCCACCCTGCTTTTATGGAAGGAACTGCTTTCAGCAGCTTGAACAAAGTGGTGGGTTATAGCTATCTGCTCTTTCTTCCCTGCAGAGGAACAGGGCTTACAGGTGTAATTGCAGCTCAGCTGATCTCTGCTTTATTTGGACTCCTTTTTGGAACTGTGTGAATGGCCGTTCTGCAGGTAAACTGGCTGCAGCTTCCGGATCCTACATCTCCAAGTGCTCAACCTGATGGGCTTCTACGTGATGCCCATTATGTGGAATCACCTCCTTCTTTCACTGCTCATTACTGCAGCGGCTCTTCCCTGCTGAGTGTCCTAGCCTTGGGCACGCTCCTATCACTCAACAACAACCAAAGCATCTTGACACTGCCTCAGAGCTGAAACCGAGACAGTGAATTACCTGGTCTGGGGAGTTTTTCAGTAAGCCTGCCAATTACTGAGCACTGACTGGCATGTGCTGACGTGGGTTATGTGGCTATTTAGCAACGTGCAGGAAAGTGTAATGAATTCTTAACGTGTTCACAGCTGTGCAGGCCACAATGGGTGGTTCTCTCCTTTTTTTTTTTATTGCACTGCCTGAAAAATACATACGAGAGATGCTCTGATACGTTTCATATGTTACAGAATCACTAAGGTTGGAGAAGACCTTTAAGATCATGAAGTCCAAGAGTCAGCTCATCAGAATCACAGATCGTAGGGTTGAAAAGGACCACAGTTGGCCTGGGTTGAAAAGGACCACAGTGATGATCTGGTTTCAATCCCCTGTCATGTGCAGGGTCGACAACCAGCAGACCAGGCTGCCCAGAGCCACATCTCAGTTTAAAACCATTCCCCCGTGTCCTGTAAACAGCTATTCTCTCTCCTGTTTGTACACTCCCTTCAAATGTTGGAAGGACTAGCACTGTGTCCACTCACAGATTGGTAAGAGTCACTAAAGTTGCAGAAGACCTCTAACACCATCACGTCCAACCACCAAACCATCACCACCATGCCCGCTAAGCCACTTCTGTGGCTGCCCTAGAGCATCCTGTACCTAATGCCTCTGTTTTAGAGGAAAGCTCATTTCTGCAGTGAGGAGCCTGTTGGGCTATTGCCAGAGCTATACATGTGAAAGGAGGCAATCCTGCAGAGAACTGCAGCCCTTTTGCTAGAACAGCACAAGCATTTCTTTTGATGGTGTTTTAGTTTGAAGATTCTCACATGGACCATGCCCATTTGGGTCTGAAAATGTCACTGTACTATGCTTTTATGCACAGATTTATTGTAGTCTCAGTCAACTGGACTTTTTAAATTTTTTTTCTCCAGATTTGTTTTCCATAAGCCCTTTCTAAATGACTCTTTATTTTTCTTGCCACTTTACTCTCTGTAGCTGTCACTTCCTTTGATAAATGTGCGTATGTGAAAGAATAAGTCATGTAACATGATAAGTGGATTGTAATGTGAACAATTACTCTCTTATATTGCTCTCTCTTATACTGCTTTTGCTTTCCAGAGCCTGGTTATTTCACTTTTGAGTAGGTTTTAAATTTCCTCGGGCTCAGCAAGGAAGAAAAGTGTGACTGGGTTTCTACGCATGTGTGTGTGCACCCTGTCAGTTCCATGCATACGTGTGTTCAGTGCATAAATCACAGAATCATAGAATTGCTCAGGTAGGAAAAGACGAAGATCATCGAGTCCAACCACAACCCAACCATGCTACCCAAACTCTGACAGCCCTCTGCTAAATCCTGTCCCTGAGCACCACATGCAAACGGTTTTTAAACACAGCCAGGGATGGTGACTCAGCCACCCCCCTGGGCAGCCCATTGCAGTGCTCAACAACCTTTTCTGTAAAGAACTTTCTCCTGATATCCAACCTAAACTTACCCTGGTGCAACTTGAGGCCATTTCCCCTCGTCCTGTCAGCTGTCAGCAGTGAGCAGAGACCAGCCCTGCTCTGCTGTGAGCGCCTTTCAGATATTGGCAGGGAGCAATCAGGTCTCCCCTCAGCCTCCTCTTCCCCACACCAAACAGCCCCAGTTCCTTCAGTCTCTCCCCATAGGCCACATTCTCCAAGCCCTTCACAGCCTTGTTGCCCTTCCTTGGTCCTGCTGCAGCACCTCAGTGTCCTTTCCGTACTGAGGTGCCCAAAACTGAACCCAGCACTCAAGGTGAAGCCACACCAATGTCAAGTACAGGGCAGGATGAGTTCCCCAGTCCTGCTCACCGCTCCATTCCTGATCCAAGGCAGGATGCCATTGGCCTTCTTGGCCACCTGGACTCACTGCTGGCTCACATTCAGCCCACTGTCCATCAGCACACCAAGCTCCCTTTCCATCAGGCAGCTTTCCAGCCACTCCTCCCCAAGCCTGTAGTGTTGACTGGGGTTGTTGTGACCAACATGCAGGACCCAACACTTGGTGCTATTGAAATCAGTTTGCCTTGGCCCATCGATCCAGTCTATCCAGGTCCCTCTGTAGTGCCTTTCTCCCCTCACACAGATCAATTTTCCCTCCCAAACTGTTGTCGCCTGCAAACTTACCGAGGGTGCACCCAGTCCCCTCATCAAGATCGTTAATAAAGATGTTAAATACAGGCAGCCCCAGTACTGAGCCCTGGGGAACACCGCTCATGACCAGCAGCCAGCCGGATTCAGCTCCATTGGCCACAACTCTTTGGACCCGGCCATCCAGCCAGCAGAGCATACCAAACTGTGGCCATCCAAACTGTGGGCAGCCAGCTTCCCCACGAGGATGCTGTGGGGAACGTGTCAAGGGCTTTACTGAAGCCCAGATAGAGCACATCGACTGCCTTACCTTCATCCACTAAGTGGGTCTCCTTCTCATAGAACAAAATCAGGGCTGTCAAGCAGGATCTACCATTCATAAACCTGTGCTGAGCCCCCTGCTGACCTTCAATTGGTCCGTGATGGCTCCTGAGATTATCTGTTCCATAACCTTCCCTGGCACTGAGGTGATGCTGATAGGTGTGTAGTTACCAGGATCATTTTTCTGGCCCTTTTTGAAGATGGGCGTCACGTTTGCCAGTCTCCAATCCCCTGGGACATCCCCAGTTAGCCAGGACTGCTGAAGAATGATGGAGAGTGGCTTGGCAACCACATCCACCAACTCCCTCAGTGCTCTGGGGTGCAATCCATCCGGCCCCATGGACTTGTGAGCATCCAGTTTTTGGAGCAGGTCCAAAGCCATCTCATCGTGGATTATGCACAACCTATTCTGTTCTTCATCCCTATCTACCAGTGCAAGGGGCTGTGTACCCAGGGAGTAACAAGTCTGACCATTAAAGACTAAGGCAAAGAAGGCATTGAGTACCTCAGTCTTATCCCGATCTTTGGTCACTAAGTTGCCCTCAGCATCCAACAAGGATGAAGATTCTCCCTAGCCTTCCTCTTACTGTTGATGTATTTATAGAAATATTCTGTTTTCCTTTACTTTAGTGTCCAAGTTCAGTTCTAGCTGGGCTTTGGCTTTTCTAATTTTCTCCCTGCATAGCTTCACTGCATACCTGCAATCATCGTAAGTAGCTTGCCCACTATTCCAGAGACCACAAACTTTCCTTTTGTTCTTGAGTTCCAGCCAAATCATAGAATCATAGAATCACCAAGGTTGGAAAAGACCTAAAAGATCACCCAGTCCAACCGTTCACCTATTCCCAATAGCTCCCACTAAACCATGTCCCTCAACACAACATCCAGTCTTTCCTTGAACACCCCCAGGCTCGGTGACTCCACCACCTCCCTGGGCATCCATTCCAGTGCCTGACCACCCTTTCTGAAAAGTAATACTTCCTCATGTCCAGCCTGAATCTCCCCTGCCGTAGCTTGAAGCCATTCCCCCTGGTCCTATCACTGATGACACGAGAGAAGAGGCCGACCCCCAGCTCACTACAACCTCCCTTCAGGAAGTTATAGAGAGACTGTTCAGCCAGTCCAGCCTCGTCCATTGGCTCAGATTCCGTGATTTGAGGATGTTCAGCTCCTGCACCTTTAAAATAACTTCCTTGAAGTATTCCCAGCCTTTCGGGGCTCCCACACCCTCCAAAACCACTTCACAAGGGACCCTCTCAGCCACGATCCTAGAGAGGTTAAAGTCTGCCTTCCAGAAGTCCAAGCTGGCAGTTCTGCTGACTCCCCTCCATGGTTCAACAAGGATCAAGCATTCCAGCATCTCGTGATCACTGTGCCCCAAACTTTACATGCCCCATTAAGACCTTGTCTGTTAACAAACAGCTG